ACCGCCGGAAAGATGAACCAGTGGGTCTCAGAGCAAATCAAGCCTGAGCCATCGCCGGAGGCAAAAGTGACAAAACCAGAAGCGTCCTACCTCAGGTACATCATGGGAATGAAGGGACCTCTGGAAAAGACAATGGTGCTGGGGAAAAATAGGAAGAGGCAGGAAGAGAGAAAGACCCAATATGAGGTGGACGGACTCCATAAAAGCAGCCATAGGCGGGAGTCAGCAGGAGCCGAGCAGGACTGCTGAGGACAGGACACTGTGGACGTCACTCATTCACAGGGTCACCAGAAGTTGGTGCCAGCTCAGTAACATGAAACACATATGGGGGCAGATCATGTGTCTTTTCAGCTCACAGTTTCCTGATTGAGGGAAGCGGAACCTGAGAAATCTCACCTGCATTCAGACCTGTCCCAGAGCATAAGCTAAGCCTATAATTGCAAGAGGTGCGGGGGAAATCCTGAACTGTGACTGAAAGGGGGTGTTGTTTTAGGCCATCGCAGGGTGCCATTATCAAGAGGCATTCAACTAGGCAACACTCACTGATGCGACTCACGCACCAAGTTCTGGAGCTGACGGCCTTGACCTGCATCTTGGATTCACCATTTGGTGTTTGGTTGACCTTGGATGAGATCCATAACCTCCCCCTGCCTCTGTCTCTTCATCTGCAAGATGGAGAAACTCCCCATCAAGAAATGCGAGACACTTGGGTGTTGTTATTATGATGATGCTACGTGTCAGTTAAAATGTATTGAGTGTCAAAGTTGGGCCCTAAGATCCCGGGAGTAGCCTAGAGATTCTGTGCCATAAGGACGGAAGAGAGGCAATACGATATGATACAAGGAAATGAAATTAAATCACCTCTAATTTTCAGGTTTCAGGACTCTTTCTGGATGCTAGCTCTGGCTGAATCGTAACAGTCGCTACTGTATATGGGCATCGTCTACATGGCAGGCACTCTACACGCATTATCTGTAATTCTTACCATTATAATGCGAAGCAGTCAATAGCTATTATTCGGCATCACGCTCTGTGGTAAATGCTTTCCATCATTATCACATTGAGCCCTTAAAATCATTTCTATATGAGGCACTATTAACCCAGCTTCACAAATAAAGCAACAGAGGCCCCCAGACCTTCAATAATAGACACAGAGAGTCAGCAGGTGGCAGAGCAGAGAGTCCTGTCGGGCTCTATCCTAATCTAAAACCTGTGTTCTTTTTACTTCTGCCGCTGTCTCCAGGCAGATGGAAATCCGAGACAGTGAGAGGTCTTTGTCAGCTGCAAACACTGACAATAGATTACCGTCGGCTTTGTTTTCAGAAGTGGCTTTCTGCAGGCAAGGGGGGAGGTTGAAGTTGTCCTCACGCCATAGCGGGCTCTACATTGAGCAATATCGACTCTCCAGGGCTTTTTCCTGGCATAATTCAAAATATCAAGTGAATTTACCCTGGAGAAAGCCTTTGGTATCATTGTTGTCAAGGTATATCTTGCGTTTTCTCATGTTGGGAGTGATGGGGCAATGGACAGAGTCCCGGTCCCGTCCCTCACCTGTGTATCGATCACAGAGGCTTCGTGTCTGTGTGCTCTATTTAATTACAGTACATTGAAAAGTATAGCTTAATGAAAGGATTCCCCTATTAAAAGGAAAAAATTGAATACTTTTGCTGTATACAAATTCCTATGGTGCAGATGGAACCGCTGGAGCATGGGAGGGAAAACCATTTTCCAAAGGCCCTCAGAGATAAATGTACCCTAGAGATATCATTAGACCTCAGAAACCCTGCTTCCTTCTGCTTGTCGGACCTGCAGTGCAGCTCTTAGTGGACTGAGATACCCATTGATTGCGATGTGCAAAGAGATTCTGGATGGATGGATGAATGGAAGTTACCATCTCTAGACTTTTTAAAGTTTTACTTGGGCCATCTTTCGACCAGGTCATGACCATATTTGGATCGATTCACTTAAACAATGACCTCTGTAATCACAGGCAATGCCAAGATATTAGACAGAATGACCTTGTAGACACTGTCCTGCGCATCAGAGGACGTTTAGTAGCATCTCTGTGCTTTACCCACTAGGTGCCAGGGATACCCTCCCCCTCCCCAAGTTGTGACATCTCCAGACACTGTGAAACGTCTCCTGGACTGCAAAGCCACCCTCAGTTGTGAACCACTGGTCTCATCGAGGCACTACAATTATTTATTTGAGCATTAATTCTTAATGATATCCCAAAGCAAACTAAACTCACAATCTAAAAACAAATTATTGCACTCATTTTAGAAATCAAACACAGAGTTTGAGTTAAGGCTGACACGGCTTTTAGAGTGTTTCGCTTGGTTTTGTTTTTTTAAGCTGATTTATGGCGCCTGAGTTGTGCAGGCCCTGAAGTGTTTGTGGATGTTTCAAAATGGCCTGCTTTTCATGAACATCAAATTTTTGATCTATTTTCAGAAAAAAAAGAAAAAAAAGAATTGATAGCTGCTATCAAATTTGATAGCAGATCCTGGATGTAAAAAAAAAAGTTTTCTTGCTGTAAAATTTTAGCTGCCTGTCACTTACATTACAGTATGTCACACCTCACGGTGACATATTGCGATGTAACGCAATGTAAGTCACATAATAGACAACTACAATTCATAACTTTCTGAACAGGGAGAGTCATTCTTTCCCGAGCAGCTTCCCAAGGGAAATAAAGGGATCCCTCCGCTTGAGGTCGTTGCCAGCGCCGATGTCGCTGGCCTGCTGGTGACTCACCGACTCATTCTGTTCACAGTCTATATTTTCCCTGCCTGCCTTCCTTTTAAAACTGGCTTTCCTCCGTCTCTTCCGATTGTGATCGAACCGTCAGTCCAGTGGCTTGCCTCCGGTGGCGAGTTTCATGTCAACTTAAGGTGTATGTTTTAGGACATGACCAAAGTTATTATTTTTTTATTTTTAAGATTTAAAAAAATACTCTGAGAAACCTACATATATACATGTATATGTATATGTGTGTGTGTGTGTGTGTTTGTATAAAATGTGTGTTTATATCAATTTACTTCCCACTCCCAGTAGTAATCTTTGTGTGCGTGTATGTGCGTGTGTGTGTGTGTGTGTATGTGNAAAAAAATACTCTGAGAAACCTACATATATACATGTATATGTATATGTGTGTGTGTGTGTGTGTTTGTATAAAATGTGTGTTTATATCAATTTACTTCCCACTCCCAGTAGTAATCTTTGTGTGCGTGTATGTGCGTGTGTGTGTGTGTGTGTGTGTGCGCCCACACACAGGTAAAAATCTCCTAGATGTGTAAGACCCATTTGTTATCTTAAGAAAAACATCAAGAATGGATGTAGGTATATTCAAAATACTAAGACCTACCTACCTAATTTCCTTTCGGTAACCCAGTAAAGGCTTATGATCACAGAGTTTATGGATCTCTACGAAATGTTTCCTTTTACTTGTCTTTTAAGAAAACTCTTGGCTTTTCCCTATTTCACCTTTAACAACTTGCATATCCGACAGTTTCATATTATGATGTGACGGGCACCTCTACACATCACCGTGTGTCTTATTTCTGCAAAACTGTATTCAGGCTCCACTTGGAGAGATCTGATCAATCAAAACTTAACCCAATAATCAATATCTTCCTAAAACTCTTATATGTCTTTGTCTCCATCCTGAGAAATTCTGAACTACTGGGACCATGTGTTATATGTTCATTGAGCTCTTTTGGCGTATGAGAATAATTTGTTTCTTTAATACGTCCACAATTCTGCCCAACTATACTAAGAAAAAGAACCTATAATATTGTAGGAGCATATATTTTAGCAATACTACCCAAGATTTTAATGTGGTGTCATCAATAATTTCTAGCATCATGGTCACTCCCAGGGGCATTCTTCCTTTTGAAGGCTGATGAAGACAAAATCCATAGTAGCATCAGGAGAGGTCCAGGCACCGCCTCTGGCATCTATCCCACGTCTTTCCCTCTGTTCATCGCAGCGATTTTGTTTGAATATTGTCAAACACAGTCTGTTCCAGAAAGTTAAAAGCCTTGCCCAAAGTCACATCTTTATTAATCAGTGGGTGCAGGGCTTGTCTGGTTTCAAAGTTTGTGATTTTTCTCCGAATACCACGTTTGCCCACTCAGGGTGTCAGAGCCGATGAGTTCTCATATCCCGACCATGACCTCATCCATTTCGTACAGGAGGGAACCGGGGGAGCAAATCACGGCCTTGACGGAGTTAGCAGTGACGGCCGGGCCCGTGTGAGCACGAGGCTCAGGGGATGAGCCCACGGCCTGGGCATGGGTCCTGCCCGGGAATCGAACCGTGACCTCCCGGGTCCTAGGTCTATGCTCAACCGCTGAACCACGCCCAGCCGGGCTATTTGTTTTTTTAAAATATACGCTTGCAATTCTGTATTTAGCATCGATGGTCTTCATAACCTGGCTAATTACTAAGAGCTGCTAGCTCCTATCATTTTATCAACTCTCAACTATCCCATTTGCCAATACCCAGAGATGTGTAGGCGAGGGCTTCTGGATAGAGAAAGCCTAGGCCTACGGGAACCTCCAATCGTTAGATTCTCTTTATTTTTATTCCTTGATCACATTACAAGGGTTAGAGTCACAGAACAGCTTGAGTCACACAGAAACTCTCCTCTCCCGTCTCTCCTTTCTCTCTGCTTTACTCACCCCCAGTGCTTAGAGACATGCTCAGTCATGACCCCCTCAGCTAAGGGGCTCCAGTAGCATACTGTTAGTTAGGCTAACGAATAGCCCAGAGGCCTTATTTTAGGTTCCTTGTTACTACTTTTGTTTGTTGCACTGAGTGGATGAGAGATATTCCGAAGGCCCACAAAATGTTAGGGGGGGGGAGAGAGGAAAGAAACAAGTATTATTGAGAATCTTCCATTTACCAGGGACTGAACTTAGTGTGTTTTTATTTTTTTACCTAAATTAATAGTTTCTTACAACAACATAGGGGTAAATATTATCTCCGCTTTACAGATAAAGATTCAAGGCTATTCAGTTCTGCGCACAAGTTCTCATGGATCGTAATCAGAGAGCTGGGATTCCAACCTAAGTCTCCCTACATACGGGTACGAAGCCTGGGCTGTCCTCTCGTCCTCTGTTCCACAGGGTTTCCCTTTTATCACTCATTCTAATTCACCCCAAGTCAACCTTTCAGTGTTTATCTGTGCGAGTGCTCCCTTTGTGTTTTCAAGTTATTTCTCTGACTTCATCAACTTCTATAAACGGAGGGATTCAAAGCACGTGGTGTGTGCTATGCAGGTCTCACCCCTAAACACAAGGTCACCTCTGGCTACTGTAGTGTCCATAAAGTGCTCAAATTAGTTCAAAATGCAAACGTCTGCGCTGAAAGGAGATGAAATGATTGTCAACTACATTTCACATTTTTTTTTAGAAAGGAAGAGTTTGCCTAGACTGATGGCACGTTTTGTTCCACATTAAAATTCCACATTATAATCCTTGCTGGTGTTCACCAAAAGCCGATCATGTTTATTTGGCACCTACAGAATCCCGAGGCCTATTTTAGGCTTGTAATAAATAACATTATTCTTTAATGGCACCAGCAACAAAATGATCCAAACAAGACTTGATAAATTTAAAAAAATTTCTCTGAATAATTCTTTATACTCCTCCTGATGTTCAATCTATCCCTTTATTTTATTATTTTATTTTATTTTATTAATTTAGGAAGCAAAAGTCTCAGAAAGCAATGTTCTCAAAGGAAAGGCTCGATGCCCCCAGGCATCTTTAAGAAAACTAAGATATCTTTAAGATAATTAAGCAAGTGCCAATTTATCTCTGGGTTTTCTCTTTCCAAAATCTGCAGAATTAGAATGCCCTGTGAGGACCAGAAATGACTGCTAGCCAATGGACAGAGAAGCTCTCCATCAATTCATAACTTTGAACAGCAGATGGACAACTAGACATACAAGTCTATGTGCCGTGTATCTAAATGATATCCCTGTAAGTCAGTAATCTCAGAACTAAATTGTCTCCCATGACAGGCACTGAAAAATAGACTCTAAGGGTCATTCTCTGTCTGACCAGAGCAATAATTTTAGGATTTTCAACATTTGCAAAGGAAATTCTTAACTTCTGAAGGTGCTCTTGTTCTATCAATTTAAAAAGGTTTTTGAAAGATATTGAAACTATAGAAAATAAAAAGACTTCTACAGAAAGTACTTAAGGCAAAGAAAAATCTAGCTTTCTGGACCAAACTGCACAGTCGTAGGCGACTTGGGACATGGAAGGAAAGACCTGTTGCCTGTTTTTCTTCGCCTGTTCATTGTCCTTAATTACAATTTAGGCAACAAAATGAAACATAAATGGCTTTTTTTTTTTATCAACGGAACATAGCCGGAAGCACAAACAATAAATTATGAATGACCGAAGCAGAAACTTTTCCGGATCCCGTGCGCAGGACGCTATCGCGCATGTTCGGGATCCCAGTTGCCCCTCCCGTTTCATGCAAACTGAGCACATTTTATGATTCAGCCTTGAGACCAAGTGCCTGCTTCATACGAGTGAAAGCCGACGCCCTAGATGAAAACGACCTCTCGTCCATGTCGGGTGCTGTGGAAAAGCCCGTACGTGAGCGGAGCAGACAGAGCCCACGTCCTGGAAAATTAAATACATAGGTCGTCATTAGCGCACGCAGACAAGCACAGTTCCCACTTGTCGCCTCGGTATGGTTGCCTGGGAAACCCAATAATAATAGATCTGCTTAGCTGAGGGATGGAGGCTTTTGTAAAGGCCACTTGGGGAAAGAGATGCTGTTTCAGAAAGTCCTCTGTTAGCTTCAAAGCAGCCCGGAGTAATGGAAGTACTCAAGGAGGCCCGAGGTGGCCAGGGAGAGGCCAGTGGGCTTGCCAAGGTGGGCCTTTCTGCTCTGCGGGTCATCAGGGAGGCCTTTCAGATCCAGTGCAGCCCAGATGGGGCATAAGGGGAATGCAAGAGGGACTCTGTCTGCCTCGACTCCCCCACGCCGAGTACAGGAGAGACAGGCCTGAGGCGCAGCCTGGGAGAGATGGAAGACTGGCTGGGCCGGGATCAGGGGAATCCACTTCCATTCTCAGGCAGCACATTTCAGTTCTGTGACAGGAGCACTCTGACATAACTTGACATTATTCGAAAGAGCAAAGAAAGACAGTCTATTTGATCAGCTTATGCAAAATGATTCCCACAGGGCATGTGTGTTGGAAGGCTGTGGGTGATTTAAAACAACCCGATATGCTGGAAGGGAAAGGAACCTTAACGAGTTGGAAGCGGGGGTTAGCCACTGTGCGGAGAAAGCCGAGTTTCTCTTTGGCAAAGGAGAAAAAAAAGAAAAAGCCTTCATACTCAAAGTGAGACCCCGAAATCCTGCAGCTGTTTCTGTCGATGGCCAATGTTTTCAGTATTTCCCCACCTCCACCCCCTCTCTGATCTTTCTGGTTGTAAAACCCTTGAGATGCAACACACCGCTAAGCAGATTTCTTGCAGCGCAGCCTAGTGAGGCCCAGGCTTCTCACAATCACCAGTGAGCCCACTTTCAGAATTACTGCCCCACATGCCAGAGTCAGTGGAGTTAGAGCTGCAGAGAGACTTGGTGAGGCTGATGCGCCAGAGACCGACCATAGGATGGGAACCGAGAAACGAATGGACTCATGTAACAAGGATCTTGTCCCGTTTACTGGTGAGTGTCTTCCCATGTGCCAGACAGCGTGCCGAGAGCGGCCTGAGCCCTGGGTTATGCACGCGTCGCGGGCAGGGAGGTATTGTTACCCTGGTATTACAGATTAGGAAACTGAGGCTTACAACTTGCCTGTAGTCGGTGATCTACCAGGGGGATGCTTCTAGAGGATACGAAGACATAGAACACACACTGCTTGAGGCTGGCCAGTCAGTTGAAATGCAAACCCCACAAAGCCAAGCACGAATTATCCTCAACGGGTAACCATGTTGTGGACATTGAGATGACCCAAGGTACATTTATTCCAAAGCTCTAGTCAACATTTATATTATTCAGATTGATTACCACGATTATGCCTTTGGAGTGAAATGTTTATCAAGAGAATTTTGGTAAAAATAAAATTTAAAAAAATATATATCAAGAAAAGAAAAAAATATTACTGTTATCAGGTCCGCTGGTCCCCCTGCTGTCTTCTCTTAAGCTATAATTAAGGCCAAGTTCACTATCTACTTGTCTTCCCACAGGCCCTCCTGAGCGAGCGGCGCTTGATGACTTTCCTTAATTCTCTAAACACCCGATTCAAATACTTCAGCGCAGAACAGGAAGACTCGCATGTCACCAGCCTGCTTTCTGGCCAGTCCAGCCACATCTTGCACCTACAATGTGTAGGCTGGATAAGATCAGGTTTCTGCAGTCCTCAAATCTGGGGCAAGATGTGCCTGTGAGAATATAAATGGACCTGTAGGATGCCCATTTATCTTCCCTGTTTCCTTATATTTAATGTTGAGTGTCTGCCATTTGCAAGGCTGGGGTGGAAACCGAAGCTGAAAGGCGGTCAGCAGAGCTCCGTCTGTCGGTCAGTCCACCCGCCTGGGAGAGGGAGGAACGGGCGTGCGGGCCAAATCGTTTAGACAGTTCAAGGTGCTCCGGCTGCTTGGAAGGCACCTGCGGCATAAATGATTCATCGCATGTTGACCTTTGCTTTCAGCTTTATTTGTATGAAAGGTTGCTCTCCTACTCCGGCAGAAATATGATTCTCACGTATTCAGAAAGAGAATCGTATGGGAAACCACTCAACTGTGTAGGAGATAAGAGGCAGCTAATTTCTGTCTCGTTTTGCCTTTGGTTTTGAATTAGCGGGCTGGAAACTGCAGCAGGGAAGGAGGGGACCGCAGTCACGTCAAGCTGAAGGACAAGACGCAGCTGCGAGTTCCCTGGAAAGCACCCAGTCCCGAAACCACTGCCTTGAAAGATCCGACTGCAAAGGGCGACCGTCCGCCCTGCAAGCGCAAACCTGACACTTTGGCTACCTCACAACCTTCACCTTCACGTGGTGGGAAGGGTCTTGGAAGTGACGACGCTCTCCATAGAGCAGCCTCAGCGGCTGGCCAGTGTCAAGTCCACCGTTAAATGAAGAAAGAAAAACGATTCCAGCTGTAGTCTACCATTTGATTCCCTTCCATGTTTTCAAACATAAAATATACCCTAGTTTTAAAACCAAGAATGTCTATTATTTGGACTTGTGATGGTGGCTGTGTGTGTGCCCGCGCTTTCTGTCATCATTAATGACAAGGGACAAATAACAGGCCCCCAGGATACCAATCTATTTACCCACCTATTTATCTGCGTATCTCCAGCATTTTGAATCTGACAATTTCTTTCCACTACTTTATTTCTACAAGTTAAGAAGAGACAAATTGCTTTTTTCTATTTCACCGTAACTATCTGGATACCAAAAAATAGTGGTCTGTGGAGCAAAAGTCATGAATTTCTAGCACAGGAAAAGGATTATATTCTAAAGACCTGTGGGTTTATAGCTTATTCTATGGAGATATTGGATATTTGGATCCTAAATTCATAATCACAGTGAACATATGTCCTGGTTTCCACAAAATAGTCCTGGTTTATGGTTTTTACAGGCATAAATATAAATATAAATGGCAATCCCTTTCACTTTAAAAGAAACGTACCAGTTGAGATGATAAATTATATGGTCATTCTTTGCAAAACAAATAAATACATTGGGGGGAAGAGGGAGTAAATGTAATACTTTCAGCAATAAAGATAAATTAAAAAAAATAAAAATAAACGATCATAGCACAAAGAGTGCTCTTTCTGTCCTGAGTAATTTTGCAGTACCTGACGTCTTTTTTCCCCTCAATTATTTCTCACACATACACACACACACACCCGTGAGGTAATTCAAAACTGTAGCTTCCATTTTCCAGTTCCAAAATAAAACCGATAACCCACATGCCATTACATACTCTATTACAAGGTTTATTAAAATGTATGATGGAGCTAAAATATGGTTTTCGAAGTGTATGAGCTTTTATCTTCTACTACTTCCAACAATTAGAGAAAGCATACGACCTTCATTCACCATAGGACCGACATGTCTTCTTTCAAAGGTTTAGGGGATAATAAATGTCGGACAAAAAGCTATGCTGTTCGCTGACACCCAGGAACCACCTCTCACCCATTCAGATATATTTACATAGTGCCTCCGATGGGCCATAGCGATGGAACTGCAGAAAGCACAGAAAACTCCAAAAGGCTCAGACCTTTGGGATGGAACAACATTTCTTCACAGGGAATTTTCAAATGAAGGGGCTTTTATATGCAAAAATAATAAATGACACCTGTTAGCTCACAAAGTAAGCGTGGGGCCCATGCACATGGACTTTGAGCTCTGTTGGGAATTTCTGGGGGGACTTCCACCTTAGCCATATTTATGTGACTCCCAGGAAATAGAACTCTGGGCAGTGATAACCGACAGACAAAGGCCACGCACATGGGTACCTGGATCGGAGCTCCTAACTAGGGGGGTCTCACAAATGAGCATCGCTGAGAACAGGATCTTGTCTCCTTAAGAGTTTTTAATAGTGGAAGCCAGGTAAACGAAGACTATCTCTATAATGACCTTCTCATTTCCTTTCCCGTGATGCGCCCACATCTATCAAAGCATCCCCGATCAGCTAAGCAGCATTATGCTAAAAGGTAAGGCCATTATATATTTAACAGGCGCCATAAAACCTTCCTTTATTTCCTTGAGAAGTTGTATCAACAGTCCCTACCTCCTTGAAACAGGACACAGCCAATAATCCGAACACGGGCCATGAACCAAGTTCTACTCCTCGGAGCACAGCTTTTATACAGACTGTTCATAAATCTAAACAATGACCTGTAGTAAAGCCAGAAGGCAGCCTGAGACGATACATTTATTCTGCTAATCATTCTAGAACAGCCGAACCTCAATCTTAAAACACATCCCAGCCAAAATAAACAGTTAAAAATCCTGGTTAAATAGCAGCTTAGGAAACAAAAATGGACAGATAAGATAGACGTTTTTTCCCCAGGATCCACCCGGCAGTACACAGTTATTAGGGTATTATTGACTGTGTTCCCTACGCTGTACTTGGCATCCCCCTGAGTATATTGTAACTACCAATCTGTACTCTTCAGGCCGTTTCCACCCAGTCCCCCCAAACCCCTCCCCTCAGAGAGACTTTTTAATAATGATCTATGGTCTTTATATGCAATAGACAATAGTTAAGGGGAACAATTAGCCTGCTTGGTTTTCAAGAACGAATGATATACATCAGTGAGAGATTTAATAAACTCAGTTCATATTAGCTCCAAAATGGCACTGATAAGGAGTAGCTTTCAAGCCAGATTTTCTCATCTAATTGCTATTGTCAACGTTGATACAAGTTTAAAACAAATACCCACAATCTGTGTACCCACAAACCAGGCACAATTAGAATTGGCTTT